TATATATATATTCATATTTGTATGTAAATTTAAAATAATAAAGTTTGAACAACAACATTTTTTGTTCGGAATTTAAAAATAGAGAACATATAAAATTGTTCTGATCTCGTTTCTTTTTTCTAAGCAGAAAATTGATGTACAAAGTAATGATAACAAAAACTGTACAAGAATTTTACTGAGCGTAATTAACGTGGCAAAAACGATGCACAGAATTTTTGTGTAGGCGTCTATAATAAAGAAGATTCAAAAACACTTTGATTGGAAAGTTTAGAGAGACAACTATGCATATATATTTTTTGGTATATAACGAATCGCTTTTCCACTAACTTTTTAAATTTCGATAGTCGTTTGATGGTAATTTGTAGGCTTTATAAGAATATAGACAAATTCAGTAATATTTCAAAAAATTCTTAAATTTAAAAGTTTGATGTTTGAAACTCTTTATGACATTAAGAAGTTACACTGAAGAAAGGCTACGTCAAAATTTGACTATTGTATTTTTTTTCAAAAGTTAATCGCAGTAGTATTTGAAATAATATTTTGCAGTTACGCTCAAGAATGGGCGAACTATTTGGCCAGCACTGGAAGGTTTGAGCACCGAGGACCATCTCGTCAGTATGGAGAAAATCTATTCATGGGGAGTGGCAACACATGTTAGCATTTTTGTTCTTTATTTTCCGAAAACTATTCTATTATTGTTCATTTAGTTGATTTCTTTTATTTTGAAAAAAACAGCTTATATCTTCTTTAGGTGAAAATGCGGTAAAAAGCTGGTACGACGAGGTGCAGTACTACAATTACAGTTGTCCTGGCTTTTGTGCGAACACTGGTCATTTTACGTAAGAATTTTGCTGTTGGCTGAGTGTTCATTAGACTAAAAACTGTGTTTGAACAAGCGGCTTTTATTTATCACAATAGTGTTGCAGCCAGTTAGTCTGGAAATCTTCGCAAAGAGTTGGCGTAGGTATTGCTAAAAGTTCAAGAACCGGGATGACTGTCGTTGTCGCCAATTATTATCCAGCAGGAAATATGATGGGGCAGTTCCCAAGCAACGTGTTGCCGCGATAAGTAACGAGAATCAAGAGGGTGTTGTCAAAAGAACTTTAATTAATGCGTTGTTTATTTCAAAAACCTTATTATTTGTTGTTTCACTTCACGTTACATACCACTTCCATTTTTTCTTCGTCTCTTAAAACAGCTGCTTCTTGGATAAAACATTGCAATTAAAGTATTGTTTTTATCTTGGAAAATGCTTGAAAATGTTTCAACACAACTGCTGAAGCAGGCACAGTTATATATAAATAGATATCAAAAAAAAAAGCAAAATATTTACGATAATGCATTCTTTTCTGTCATTTGTGTCTTGATTTCTAATACTAGAAAGTCCCTAGAGAAATAAAACTATTAAAATATGATCTTTCAAAATATGAACAAAATAGTCCGTAATTGATTTTGCGTAGGTCTTGAAGTACAGAATGGGGCTACTACTTAGGCCACTACCGTATCGATTAAAAAATAATTTTTTAATCTCTATCTGCCAGCCGAATGTTCGTAAAATTTATATGCGTGCAAAAAGTTTCAACGATCAAAAATGAATCATAGAAGCCCAACGTGTTTGCTACGAAACCAAAACCAATGCTTATGTAAACTCTGTTCATATGTTGTTTATAGCACTAGAAAGAAAGTTCATCGTAAGTTTTTTAGTGGTAGTTTATTTTATACAGTTTATTGTCACCATCTCTAATAGTGACGCTCTGTTATAGACATAATAACACTCCTAAAAAAGCTGTCCGTGCGACACCACTATTTGTTATTTTTGGGCAGTCTAACCAAAAAGAATATTAGCTTGAGCTTTCAAACAAATTCAACCGTTACGTTCCATTTTGAAACTGAAAGCCGAGGAGTGACAGATATAAACTCAAAACTGTTACATAAACTAGAAAAGCTCCAATAAGACAGTAAAGTTAATAATAACTCATGCTCAAATAGTAATCTAAGTATTCAAGTAAACAACGTCTCAAGGTTATAATCTAAAATATACAATATTAGTCCTGCTAACTTCTTGTCTCCGATTGAATTATTTATTTTCTACCCACCTTTCAACTTCACCCGCAACATTTTAAGGAAAGTTTATCATTTAGAAAAGTTATTTGCTGTGATAACAGCAAAATTACTTGATGTTATAAAAATTTTTCAAGGCTTTTTAAGAGCACTCAAAGTCGCGTATGTGTATTTTTTACCATCAATCATTACCGCTGTTAAGCACTGCTTATTTAGTTGTTAATTTTCCAACACTACGCACTAAATTGTTTTTGATCATTCCGACACCTGTGCGGAAGTACAGGGCAACGTCTGGCAACTGTGTCCTTTCTGTCACCACAATAAGATTTAAAGAAAAGGTGAGAAATAAAATTTCAGCTATATTAATCTTTAAAGAAGATTTTTAGAAAAAAAATTTTGCGATATTTGAGAACTGCACTAACAAGCATCACTAACAGAAAGCGTACCTCAATTCTGCAAAATTAGCGGATTCACTTAGATATGTCACCAACATTACTGAAAGTTATTTTAAATTATTACTTCGTACAGGCAGTTCTAGCTGTGCAAAATTAGTCATGAAAAGACAATACTCCTAAGTATATTAAAAATGTAATTTTCTATTAAATTTGATCTATTCAAAAGTGTTAAAATCTTGCAAAGGTCGTTAGCGATACGCGTGCGTAATGCCATAATTTAAAAAAAAGCAGTAAAAAAATGAAAAGATCCAAACAACGCCACTTAAATTTGAATAATTTTAGAACGATTACTTAATTTCAATTTCACAAGCCATAATCATTTTCTAGCCAACTTATTTTACTATATTCTTTGCTGCATTTTCAAAACAACAAGAACATATTTTACTACTTGAATTTATTTTTTGAAAAAGTTCTGCGCTAGTACTATGTTTAACCTTGCATTCTTAAAGGCATTTCAAAATTTTGCTTCCTCAGTCAATAACCGACAATAGTAACACATACGGATCTTTTATTAACAGAAATAAAAGCAAAAAGTGTCAAATATCCATATATTCATATGACAGACTACTCCGAAATTGTTTCCCTGTAATTGCTAAACCTTCAGATTTTAATTTTGCAAAGAATTAAGTTCAGATTGTGGCGTTCTCTATAAGCATAAATATCTGCTACTTTTAATGTAGAAAATTTGTGACTTCTATTTTGGCGACTTTCAAGCATCAATTGTTAAGTGTTGTAAGACCATCTTTTTAAGTAGTAATAGGTTTTTGTATAATAAAAATGTAAGTCTTTACTAAACTTCAGCTATTTTCACCAACTTTAACCAGTTTATCTCATTTTCTTTATAATTAATAACTTAGCCTAACATTCAAAATTTAAACTTTTTTGATGTTATTTGTACGTGTCTTTCCGACCTTATCAAAACCCGCAGTTATAAAAATTAAGAAAAGAAATTGATGTTTCATATCTTAATTCTTCTAACTATTGAAGTAGCAAAGTGAAAAAAAAGCTAGAATTTTTATGATTGAAAATGTAGAAAACAACAATTTTTTAGGTAACCTATCAGCAAAAGACTTTTTAGAAGTTAAGGTTAAAGAAAACAGTTGACTCCTGTTCAGTTCAACAAGCTGTCGTAATAGGTCTGACTGAATAAATTTATAGTATACACTTAAATCTTGCAGTAAGGCTAACAAGCAGCAGTTCGTCACTGATACACCTGAATTACTATAGCGAATACCGCTACAGCAGCAAAGAAGAAAAAAAAAAGCAGAAATCTGCGAAGAGGAAAATAAAAGCAACTTCTTGTACAGCATTCCGAAAGGTAACTAAACAGTGACACGTTTAATTAGCAAAATATATCTGCTTCGTTCGACAACTCGTTTCGCTACCACTGACAAGTTTTGAGCAGCTTATTTCTTCAGATGAATAAACTGTTTTGTAGGAACTGACACTGTATATTAAAATCAAAAAAGTTTTCCTCAAAAAGTGGGCTGACGGCAGACGGTTCTAAAATGCGAAACAAAAAAACGCTCGTTTTCTTTATTTGCAACGGATTTTCGTCATTTTTGCTTCATTTGAAAGGGGAAAGTGTCACTGCAGATTCAGAAAAACGGTGTTTTTTTGCACTCTGTATACGCTTACAATAGCAAATTTTATTCTAGTTTAAAATAAAAAAAAATTCAAAACGTTCTTCTTAAAAACGAGTTTTTTTAATTTTCTAAAAAAGATACATCTTTAAAAAAAAATAATTTTGCACAACATAAAAATACGGTTTCTTTTTGGCATCAAGAGTTGCGGTGCGATTAGTAACAGCAGACCGAAAAAAACCACCCATTGAAATAGCATTTTGGTGCTCTCGTAAGTGAGAGAGTCTCTGTTTTGACCAAAATTATAGTACTTATAATAATATATATAATTATTATAAAACTCTTCAGGTCTACTACTTCAATGACAGATAATTAGTTAAAATTCACTCACTTTTGAACAGTCCTACAAAGATGTTTTTAGAAAATTTGCTAATACGACTACTTTTTTGGTTTGTACCGCTTTACTCGCTAAGTGAACACTTCTGACCCCAATATTTCACACCTAGTACCGTTTTTTGACTGCAAGTGGCTGTCGCAGAAAAAGAAAATTCCTTTTAGATTGTAGTTTTAGTTGGTACGAGCTACTCACACT